GTAAACGAGGGTTTTTTCATCAAAGAAATAATGGGTACCAAATTAAATATGAAACTACTACATGAAATATTACCACGTTAGAATTCCATACCCCAGGGTCTAGAAAAATATGTTCTGCTGATGAATGAAAAAAAAATTAATTTAATGACGATCCGATTGTAAAACAATTATAATATGTAAACCTATAACACTGGACTTAACCTACACAGGGTGTYCCGTGAGGATTAACCCATTACGATATCTCACGAAATAATGGAGATATAAATTATATAATAATATAATTCTTGTTTTGTAATGAGACTCACAAGAATAAGAAATACAATCATTTTATTTTTTAATTTATTTTAATGTATTGGTAAAAAGTTTAAAAAATAAATTTTTTAAATTAATTATTCCCAAAAAAATTTAAAATTGCCCATTTTATATACTTAATTTTTCTGAAAATATTCACGTTTCAAAATTTTATTTTCATTAATATCCTGTGTATTTTAATATTTTTTTTCTAGTTTTGAAGAAATAAAATATGATCATTGACATTGAAAACGTTCGGTCGGCTGTGCGAGCACTCATGCACCCATGGTGGGTGGCATGTTTGATAACACTACGCTGTTAAATAATTCGAAATTTTACTTGAAATTAAAAAAAAAATAGAAAATTAATGAAATAAATATATATTTATTTTACTTTTTTTATCAAAACATTAAAATAAATTATAATATGAAATGATTGTAGTATTACAAAACCAGAATTTTGATATCTATTATTTCGGGAGATATCGCAATGGGTAAATCTTCGAGGGACACTATATGTATATGAATAGTTATCCTTTGAATGTTTTTTCTTTTCTTTTAGAATAGTTGTCAATTGAAATGTCTAAGAAGCAACTACGTTTTGGACAATGTACACAATATAAGAATTTGCAGTCAGAGATTTAATTTTTTTTTTCTAAATCGGTCTTTCACAATGTTTCAAAATAATGTTTAAAAAAATAATTAGGTACTATATACGAGGATGGTCCAGTGTCAACACACAATTTTAATAATGCCACTTGTCTCGTTATCACTTCACCTGTCGATTGGGAGACATAGTCATGGCGGGCGTCATCATCTCGTAACTCTCTCGACTACCACCGTCCAGCGGCTCGGAAATGCATTTGATGGGTGGTGGTACTTTGAATCTTCTGGCACGCAGTTGTGGTGGTTGTGGTGGTTGCTGCGGTTGCTGTGGTTGTTGTGGTTGTTGTTGGACCATATCTTTGGAATGGTCATCGATGAACCCTCTGATAGTTTGCCTGTCGGTTGGTGGATCACCCGCACAACCATTGGTCGCRCGCGGTGGTGGTGGCAACTTGTATTGGGCTGGTCGAGGACTTATCACTGGTGGTCCAGGGTTTCGTCTTGCCGGAATCGAAGGCAACGTTGTCGATGGAGTGGCCGGGTACGATGCCTGAAAAAAAAAACACATAACGTGTACAAAGATGCATTCCGGTAAAGTTGAAGTAAAACGTCAGTCAGTGTGTGACTGATTAAAGGTATGAGTAAAAAGATAATACAAAATGAAGTATTTTTGATATT